AATTAATATTCACCCCCCCACAATTAATACACCCCCCACGATTAATATACACCCCCCAATAATTAATTCACCTTTTAATTAATTAAATAACATTACATAAATTACATAAACAACACATAAATTACTACTCACGTTTTGATGATGCCTTCCCTCCGAGACCGACCACTGGATCCTTGCGCTGAAGATCCGTGAAGGCAGACTGACGGCGGCGCTGCGTACGGCGTCATCACGCTGCGTCCGCGTCCCAAAGACTCCTCCCTCTTCTCAAAGATGCGGCTGAGGCTGAGCGCAGCGTGATGATTGGGGCCGGGGGGGTGACACATGACACTTGAAGTCATGGCACCCCCCTGGACAGCAGCCCCCCCCGCCCCCCCCTTAGTACGCCACTGGGTCGGCAACATCTGGGAGGTGCGGGGTCTTTTTTCTTTTGGGGCCCGTAAAAGGTGTGTTATATGTTTTCCTTCTAGTCTACTGGATTCAAGATCTATCCATTGTGGGGGTTGTGAGCTAGAGTGACATCTTAGCATATTAGCTAGTTGTGTAGCTCTGTGGTACTCTCTTACGTCGGGGAATCCGAGTCCTCCCTCTCTCACTGACCGTGACAGGAGCCGCCACGTCACCCTGGGTTTCTTGTTTTGCCATCCAAATGTCAGAAGTGTTGACTGGAGTGCTTTAAGGTATTTGAAGGGGACGTTTATTTGCAGTGTTCGAAATAGATATAGAATTTTTGGTAGGATCATCATTTTGATGGCCGCGCATCTGCCCACCCAGGATAGGTATTTGCCCTCCCAGGTTTTCAATGTATTCTCAATTTCCGTGTGGAGTTTTTGGTAGTTCATTGTGAAGAGTGAGTTATATGTTTTCGTGATTTTGATACCCAGAAACGTGAGGTAGTCCTCTCTCCAGTTAAATGCCGCTTTGAGTCTAGTCAATGCGGTGTCCTCTATGCCTATTCCCATTGCTTGGGTTTTAGTGATGTTTAGTTTGTAGTATGATTGTGCGCTATAGTTTTTAAGTTCTTTTTTGGAGATTTGGAAGGGAAATTGGTGATAACGTTAGAAGGACATCATCTGTGAACAGATTGAGTTTGTACTCCTTTTCTCCTACATTTATGCAATGTATGTTTGGATTGCGTCTGATGGCTTCTGCGAGGGGTTCCAGGGCTAATACATAGAGAAGTGGTGACAGGGGGCACCCCTGCCTAGTCCCATTTGTGATGTCGTATGGGTCTGATTGGAACCCTAAGGGAGATACCGCTGCATTTGGAAGGCTGTATAGGGCTTTAATGGCCGTCAGGTATGTGGGGGAGAAGTCAAATTTTTTAAGGGTAGCCTCTAGGAATTGCCAATTCAGTCTGTCAAAGGGTTTTTCTGCATCCAGTGAGATTATGAGTCCTTGTTTCCGGTCCATTTGTATCTTCTGTATAATGTCTGAGCCTTGCCTTCCGTGCACAAAGCCCACTTGGTCGTTTGAGATAAGAGAGGGGAGGATGTTTTTGAGTCGGTTGGCTAGTATTTTTGCATATATTTTGGTATCTGAGTTCAGTAATGATATGGGGCAGAAGTTCTGACAGTGTGTCGGTGGTTTTCCCGGTTTAGGTAGGGTAATTATTCTAGCTGCCAGGTATTCCGCTGGGAAGTTCCCTGTCTGGAGTGCGTGGTTAAATGCCTGTTTGAGATGCGGGGCCAGATGTGATGTGAATTTCTTATAGTATTCGTTCGTGAAGCCATCTGGTGCTTTCCCTAGGGGTGTGGATGTTATGCAATCTGAGATTTTGTTTTCTGTGATGGGGGCTTCCAGGAGTTGCTTCTGGGTTCCAGACAGGGTTGGCAGTGGAATGTCTGTTAGATAAGATTGTATGCCTGTTTCTGTGGGTTGCGGGGTATTCGGGTCTTTTGAGAGGTTACATAGTTGGCTGTAATATTGGGCAAATTCTTTACATATGTCTGAGGGTAGGTGAACTTTATGGCCCTTCTTGTTTATGATGTGAGCTATCCGTGTTTGTTGTTGTCTTTCTTGTAGGCGTTGGGCTACAAGTTTGCTGGCTCTATTACCTTGGACGTATGTGCGAGTATTTAGTCTATTTAGCATGAGGCCGAATTTGTGGAGTCTGGTCTCATTAAGTTTGTTTTGGAGTGCATTGATTTGTGTTTTGTGGTCTACTGATGGGTGCTTTTGGTTATCTTTGTGAAGATCTTCCAGTTGTCATTTGTATTGTGTTGTTTCTTTTTTTGTTTGTTTTTTTAGGTATGTGGCTCTGCTTATCAGTGTGCCCCTTATTACCGCTTTATGTGCAAGCCAAATCGAGTGGGGATTCAGGTCATTTGAGACGTTAGTGGAAAAGTAGTTGTGGAGTTCGTTTTCTAGGGTTTTGCAGTATTGTGTATCTTTGAGTAGATATTCATTGAGACGCCATGGTTTCTGTGTTTGTATTCGCATGAGCTCGCTAATGTTAGTGTCATTGGTGCATGGTCTGACCAGTCAACATTTAGAATGTCGCATTCCAGTATGTTGGCCATTGTGGATTCATGCATGAAGCATCCGTCAATTCTAGAGTATGTGTTGTGTACTTTGGAGTGGTGTGTGTAGGCCCTTTCTGACGGGTGGAGGGCTCTCCATATGTCTCTTAATCCATACGGGGATAGCAGATTCCTGAGGCTTCTACTTTGTTTTTTCAGGATTTTGTAGTGAGGCAACGTGGGTGGCCTGGTTGAGTCTAATAGTGGGTCCAATACATGGTTTATGTCCCTGGTCATGACCAGGGTGCCTTTCCCCATTTTTAGTGAGGACCTCGTGCAAAAGGTTTCTTTGGTTGGTATTTGGTGCGTATATATTCACCAGTGTGTAGTCTATATCATTGATTGTGCAGTGCCATATAATGTATCTCCCTCCTGGGTCTATTCATTGGTCATGTGATATTACTGTGAGGTCTTTACTGAGGAGAATGGACACTCCTCAAGATTTCCTCGGGGTGGT